CATTGTATTTGTGATGTAAAACTCAGAGCCACAGCGTTGAAAAATCCATTGGCAGTGTCCCTTGCTTACCATGGGGGCCATATCCAAAACACTGAATGGGACATTAGTTTAATATGACTAAATGCTTTGTATTTCATGATGAGTATGTAAGCCTGATTGATTTTTAATATAACTCCAGTATTTTGTGCTGATAGTTAATACACATGTGACCTCTCTTAACTGAAGCTAGAAGGACTTACAGCAAATTGTCAAGACTCCATGAATAAAAGGGTCTAAGAGCTAGTGAGTTATGATTGCTAGATCTCAAAAAGGCTTATAAATGTACCTGTTAGCTCGAATGTTCATGCTTTAATTATATATGTTCTAATCTCTCAGATAATTTGTTATTTCTAGAAGATACCAAAACCCAGGTAATCATGCAGGTAAAATCTAAAACCAAAAGGTTATATGTTGCTCAGTGGGCCCAAGATTTTTGACACAAGCTGTAGAGGTAAGAAGAGTTTTCAGGAATGAATTGGTCTCAGTTGAGGTGTTTCATAGTAAAAAGGATACAAAATGGAATTATAGATGGAAAATAAGAACGGGGATACTAGTAGTCTACAGGAAAAAAGGTAAATGTTCATAGCTGCTAGAGAAGAAAAAAAAGTGTTTATGATGGAGTCAGAGGAAGTTTCAGATTGAAGTGGTCACGTGTCTTCCCTCTCAGTCTGAGGGAACCCATGTTAACTGCCAATATAAGGAGAAATCCTGTTAAAACTTTCAATAGATTGCTTATACAGATTTGTCAGTAGTTACCCAGCCAGTGGCCCACTTGCAAATGGGAAAATACTGTTTTCCCTATGCCCAGTAATTCATGTTCCCCAGTAATAATACGAAAGGCCAGTTTGTTTGAGAGAGTACTCAATGGCCATGGAAGATAAAAGGATTAAATCTCACATTTAAGAGATACCTGCTAATGGACCTATGAAATGTTTTGACTAGTGTTTTTATTTGGCCAATGTATGTTTAATGGTTTCTTTGCCTTTGTCTTCAGATTCAAAGCTGTAATGTAAATATGTGATGTCTATTGAGGGCCTTTAGATAGAACCTCTGAAGAGTATATCTGACTGCTGATCAACAACTACAACCCTATTCAGCCTGAAGAAGTCAGAGCAGTCATCACCTACATCCCTCACAGCAATTCAGGTTATTTCTTCAGAGAGGAGAATGTTGTAGGCAGCTGAATTAGATAGAAATATTATAGGCAGTCAGACAGCGCCAGGTCCTCAAGGAGACAAGATGGAAGACAAGGTGACTTTGCAACTTGGAAGAGACAAACACTCCCATATGGGCCACACCTCAAGACCAAGACAAAAAGAGGAAGCACAGCTACATACTTCTCTAGGGATGGGCATTAGGGATTGATATTCTAAATAGTATCAGTCAACTTGAAAGAGCCCAAATGAATCACTAGCCCAATCCCTAACAGGAAGAGACCCTGTTCCGTATTCATGCCCGCTTGCTACATGACTCGCTTTCCCGTTTGATACTGGATTTAATCAGTTTTACCTGAGCAATGGTGCTTGTAAACTATGGTCACTGGTTGACCATAGTTTTGTCCCACCTCCTGCCCACCTAAGCGAGTTCCCATTCTCTCTACCTTAGCCCCGCATGGTTTTACACTATAAAGATCCCTGGAAGAGACAGCTTCCCAGGGGAACTACCCACTCGGTCCCCCCTCAATAAATATATTCTGCTCATAAAAAACATAAAAATAAAAAAATAAAAATAAAAAACAGCTGTGAACTAGAATAGAAAAACTATCTTTGACAATTAAAAGACCTGATTTCTTTCTTTTTTTAAATGTATTTAGTAGAGGGTCTACACAGATTGGACTCATAGTGATCCTCCTGTTTTCAGCCTCCAAAGTGCTGGGATTACAGGCATGTGCTACCATGCCCAGTCTCAGTCTCTCTCTCTCTCTCTCTCTCTCTCTCTCTCTCTCTCT